TTTATCCCCGACGTACCTATAGAATCTTTTCTTGTTGCCCTTGATGGCCCTGGCCAGATGTAATTCTATCAGGGCTTTAGCTTTCCTAACCTGATCCCTGGCTGCTCGGACAGTTTCTCTGTATTCCTCTTACCTTATCAGTAAGAAGTAATTTAAATCCATTAAATGCCTTCAGTGCCTTGAGTGGCTGAAGCTGAGCCACAGGCTCTCCTGTTCCAAGGCATCCCAATAAGTACTTATCAAACCAAAATTCCAGCATGAGGAGGTCTTTTCCCTCTCTTTCTCTCAACCTAGTCTTACATGTCAGCTGAGGCTAAGCTGGGGGCCTGGGTTTAAGCGCTGTGCCTGCATGGCATTCTTGTTCTCTGACCTTCCAGCCTTGCCTTGGCGCTGCCCCAGGCCGAGACGAAGGCTGCAGTTTCTCAGCACGTTCCAGCAGCAGTCCTGGTTTCACTAGGGAGAGCCCAGCTGGAGCTCACTGGGGATACGCGAACTGGCTTTCTCTTTCCCTTGGTGCTTTCTCACTAAGCCTAAATCTAACTCTGTGCTGGGACTTGCAGTGGCCCTGCCTCGCCCTGCCTCTCCCCAAAGGCTAGCTCAGAGGAGCCAAGCAGCAGCCCCTGCGTAGGCAGCTCCTGCGGATACCACGCACTTCAGGTAACACTTGGTTTGCTTTGCAGTCATGACCCTTTGGTGAGGCCCAAGGTGTGTGGGGTGCGCAGGGACCTCCCCAGGACCGCAGGCAGGGGAGTGGAGGACAGTGCCCGCAGCAGCCCCTGCGCACAGCTGGAGGCCTCGTTTATGCTCCACTCATGACTCAGACTTCCTTCTCCAAAATATCAGGCTGGTGCCTGCACCCCAGCACGTGTGTGTGAATGGGGCAGAGGTGGGAATAGCAGCTAGGCTGCAAATGGGACGGCAGGAATTAAATGACTACAGTAGAGTGCTGCTGGGGCTGAAGGGAGCACGGCTGGTCACCCCTCTGCACCCCGAGGTGCAGCCAGAGAGACCCCGTCACCGTCCATTGAGGGCGAGGGTTCAGCGCAGGGTTACGGTTTGGGCAGAGGCACCCAAAGAACAGCAGGGCCCATCAGCGGCGAGGGCTGCAGCTGGAGCCTCCCCTTTCCGCTCAGTATCACTTAGGTGCCGTCGTCTCTGGCCTGCAGCTCGGGGCTGGGCTGCTTTACCGCGTGTTTTCCCTTTGCGGCGGGAACGCTGCAAAGAAACGAGGAGCTACCGAGGGCACAGGTTTTAATGGGCCTTCCACAAATCCCAGTGTGGTTTGGTTGATCTTGTTCCGTGCAACCCTTACGCTACTGTTTATGGAGTGGATGAAAGTAGAAAAGGCAGCTTCACAGATGGACCCTGAGCAAATCCAGCCATGACCGCAACACGCGGATGAAGAGCCGAGCACCAG